AATGAAGGTCCCCCTAACAATGTTATCTCAGGAGATTCATCGAAACCAAGTTTCTCTTCGTATCTAGTTAAGCCTTGTTGTGATCCGAATATTCGTTTCCAAGGCAAAGTTGGTTGAAAGGGTTTCGTGAATCAACAGCACCGGAAACCGAAGAAGGATTGTCTTAGAGTGGAGACTGCGACCACGATCAGTCTGCTCGTCTGTCCCACCGTGACAGATTAATTTTAGAACGAAAAACAATAGTTCAAGCAAACAACGTCCCAAAATATTCAGACAAAAACAAGAAAGCTCAGTAAATTAAGCTTCATCATCGACACACGAAATACCAGAATCGATGGATTATGGTTGCGGGACGGGAAGTCGAGGGTAGTCTTCACTGAAAGGCACTACTTCGCTTTCTGGTGCGTCCAATTTACGAGAGCCTTCCCGTCAACTTCACCTTCAAAATAGAATTTAAAAGTACATCAATTTATTGAGTGGGCCTTTAAAGCCCAAACTGGAGAGTTTACTTATTCCGGCCGGCATTGAGATGTCCACCCGATTTGTGCCGCCGACTCGACATGAGCATGCGCCTCGTTGCCACTGGCTACCACTTTACGGGTGAGCTACAGTTGCGCCGTCTCTGACCCAGAACCACAGGCCCCAGCGTCTGGCTACACGCAGACCGGCAGACCGACAAGTGGACAGGCCTCCAGTCGCGACAGAAGCATAATCGATGCACCAAACACGCACACAGACAAGCTTGTAGATGGGGGCAATTGTGAGTCCCGTTGTCAGGTGGAAAAGTTTTGTCTTTACGAGGGCCCGTCCGCTGCCATCGGAGACTGACTGGCTGTCTTCAGGCGTCACCAGCGCGGTCTAGTACATCCAATCGGCCACACTTTCTACGACTCGACGACATCAGGCCTGACTTCTTCAAAAGTATTATCGTCGCAATTTTAATTACAATTTTCATCATGCTATGCGTCATCGTTAGCGTCATTATTTGTATCATCACGCATAATATCCTTTGCATTAATTATTCTGTGAATCATTATGTGTATTTACATTTAGATCATATTTTGTATTACTCTTTGCATCATCATTTACAGCATCATGTGATTCATTGTGCTAATCCTTAATCGTTGCATCATTTGCATCATCGTTGCAATTAAATCATCATCATGTATAGCACCGGCTCTATCGACAATTATGGCAGTATTTTCATTTTTATTCTATCTTCATTTGCGACACATTTTGCTTCGTGATTTGCCGCATTAACGCCAGCAATTGTATCATACATAAGGCATATCATGAGAAATTCCTCATTTAACTCGCAATTTGTATTTTCATTCATATCTCTGATTCGTGTCCTTGTTTGCATCGTCTTTTTTTCACAATTTCTAGCCTCGTCTACACCTTGCAGGCATCCTCACTTTCATCAGCATTTTCATCCTGAATTGCGTCATCATTAGTCGATGAACGTGCTGGCGTCATTGGATTCAGACCGTCCTTTATTTGTCCTTGCTGCCATTAAAGACGTAGACTCCAATTGGTAGCTGGGGCTCATCTCATCGCTGCCACCCCTTTCCTGCTGGTGTACCACAAAGCGTTGTTGTTCGCCAAAGTGCCTATCAGTCGACGAGACAACGGAGGTCTTGGCTTCGCCCGTTGGTTGGTTTGCCGTCTGTTGGCTTTACATGAAAAACTCTCAGAACCCTGTGCTGCAAAAGTGTTGTAGGTGCTTTTTTTCGTCAGACGCGTGAGCATGGCAACACGAATGACACCAACCCACGCACACATCATTTCCGTCTATACATGGTTGGAGAGGTCAAATGACTGGATCCTTCTAAGAACATGCCTACAATTGGGCATTCTCATCTCGTCCTCTCCCTTCTTACAAGCCTGACAACCCTTTTACAAGACAAAAAAGGGGTGGTGTCCGATGAAATGGCTCTGTTGTTGCCAGGCTAGTTAAGAGCACTTGGTTGAAGTGGATGGAAGGCGGGAGAGAAATAGGCAAACATGGGCAACCCAAGCTAGGGTTGGGCAAATGTAGGCCCCGATTTGCGGTCAGCTGTAATGTCCGCCAGACCTGATGGCCGATTCACGTGGCATGGCAACTGTGCTCGACGTGGAGAAAACCGATGCGACTGGCCAGTTGACTGCAAATTAGCCAATATGCAATAGATTACAGGATCAAGATGGGCTTCGCCATGTGGCCATGCACGCTGACTCGCAGTGTGCCACGCGAGAAGGAGAAGAGGGCTTGCAGTCATGGCAAAGACTCGGTGAAGATGGCAGACCGTGTCGGTAGGTGGGGTAGGTTGTGAGCCGCTCGAGAGACAGTGGACGGTGCCATGCGAGACTATCTACAAGTCCTCCTTCCTCGGTCGTGAAGTGTTGAGTCGTTGGGCGCAGAGGCCGAAACAGAGTTGTTCTGCAACAGCAGGTGTGTGTGTCTGTGTGTGTGTGTGAAAGAGGCTAATTTGGCCGAGTTTGTCTGCAAACAGTCTTTGCAAAGCAACTTTTCTTTTCTTCCCTTGAAAGAGGTGAAACAGACTTTTCGAATTATTGGGAGGATTAAAGTTAACCTCGGGTTTTGGAGAGAAACTGTCTGGCAAAAGTGGCGTCTAACAAGTGGCAGAAATGTTTTATAATTGTTGAGCTTACTTCCATTTCGAGTAAAAGTGTTGGATGAAGAGATTCGAA